TATCGCTGTTTGCTTGCTTCACTACCACAGAAAATCTAAGCTCGATATCTCAACAACTCACCGAGATAAACCCGACAAAAGTCGAAAAAAACGTGTTTTTTAGATGAGTTATTGAGAGAAAAGTAAGGTGATATCCTTTTTTGTGATATCCTGCACTTTAGTAAAAATAAAATCTTATCTTATCTGTTTGTTTTAGAGTCATGGCACGTCTATGAGAACAATATGATTTCTCAAAAAAGTTCGACGTTTTTTTCATGACTTACTTTTCGAAGTGTGAACTTCGATATACGAGGAGTTTGCGCAAGTATTCTCTCCTTGAAACCTGTTTGATTATAGGTTATTTTTTATGGTGTTCACGAATACGTTGCTCATTTTGGCTGATGTGGTATTTTTAGCTGGCTCTCTAAAAAACTGATCTCTGAAAATTCACTTTAAATTTCATGATGAAAAAATTTTAATTCACCCAGTTTGACGAGCTTGTCGAGTTTTCTGTAGAATTTCTTTTTGCAGAACTCGTTTTCGGTGAGTCCCCGAAAATTAACTATCGAATATTCGTGATGAGCATAAAAGATAACCTTTGGTCAGACCGGTTTCAGGGAGCGGATACTTGCACCTCGTAATCATCTTTCTAACGGTAGAATACTGACTGGCAGAAAAATACTTCTTAGTCCACAACTCCATCAGCATGGTTGCCAGCAGTATACTCGCTGTATTCCGGTTTCTTCTTGTTTAAGAGCAAGGAAACTGAACTCCTCTCCTCGATGGAGAATTTTAAACGTGGAGAATTGAAATTTTACTTTAATAGTTGGTAATAATTGTTAAGAACTCCAATGGCTTTATTAGCATCAGACAGAAAGATTTCACTTCATGGAAAGAGCAAAATGGAAGAGGGAACGAAAGGCCTCAAATCTTGAGGCGACAATAGACACCACTGAATATGTCTTTTTTTCTTTTCATTCGCTCCATTTCCTAGTTTTTTTTGTACGCTTTTAACAACTATTTTCTTTTTTTCTAATTATTGCCTGCAATATGTTTTATTTTATTTCTATACGTCACTAACATATATTTTTATGTCATAAAATCGGTTATTTATCATTAAAAAACAAAACTCCAGACGTTTTTTATTTGATATGTATGTCTGACTATACTTGTTTAAGAGGAGAATATAAAAAAACAGATCTGACCCAATAGTAATACACCTCTATTTTTCACCTTTTCAACTATATAGATATTATATACTTATTAAAAAGAAAACAAAAAATGTTTTTTTGGTTAAGAACAAGAACGAAAGAAAAAAATATGATATAAACATAAAATTCTTCGATGCTGATCATTTGACAACTAAAGAAGAAATTAAACACATAAAATTTTCTTCGCTGCTGGTTCAGCTGAAGAAAAAGGGTTTGGGTATATTTTCGCAGGCGATTTTTTAACAAAAAAATATTTTTTAAACATGTCGTTGATCGACAATAATTATCATACATCATCATATTGTTCTCAAATACTTCATGATGGAACAGAAACAAAGGTAAAACAATAGTACTAAAAGCTTTACAGATTCTAATCGACGTCCACCAACGTCTTTCAAGCTGAGCATTGATAGCTACAATTATCGGAAAAATTATCAGACACTCATCTTGGTCTATATCTGCTAAAACGTTTTGATCCTCATTCTGCTTGTTTTAGCGAAGAAGTAAAAGTATAATTGATAAAACTCCTCAAAAACGTCGAACTGAAACAAATAAAATCATTTATACATTAGCAAATACTTTGCAACTATCAGACGAATGTAAACCACCAATAAATAATAGAAATAATAAAAATGACGTTCTTGGTCTTACAATAACCAGATTAATTAAAGCAAAATATTTGGATGGTGACCAATATTCAAGTAAGATGAACAATACCAAACCGTTATAATTTTAAGAGGGTGTTTTTTACTTTTATAGAAAATGTTGCGTTAATTGATGGAATCAAAATCGGTTCTGAGGTAAGAATTATATCACATTTTATGCAATAAGATTATTCGTAAAATTTTTTTAGCATATACACGGTTTTGTTATTGTACTACGCAGGGATGGACGAGTTATTACCTTCAGTGATAATGTGGAACAATATTTGGGAAAACCTGTGGTATGAGTATTATTTGAAAACTTACCATTTTTGATCTTTTTAAAACATAGATTCTTTCTTTTAGCGCACTTTATATACACAATGCATCAATATTTACGATTGTCTCGATAGTGTTGATAGAAAAAAACTAAAAAAAATATTATCAACATCAACCAATATCGAAAGTGAAAAAACATTATTATGCACATGGCGTCTACCAAAAGGCAAACGTCCATCGCGAGCACATCTAGATGAAAGGGTATACTATTGTTAAGAAACATCCTAACATTTTCATCGAAGATCATTATTCTATAAAAAAAAAATATTGATAAATCACTGAACAGAGAAGAGAACAGAGAAGCATGTTTAGTTAATCTTTGCTGAAATTTTCATCGAATGTGGACCAATTTTAGTGAGAAATATATTCAAGATTTCAAATCGAACTTAATGTTATTGTGCTACTTAACCATAGTATTACTATACAATTTATTTGTTTTAGACAATTTTGATGAATGGTCATTTTTATTCTGCTAATCAATTTGATGAACCATTATTTATAGCTCGTTGTGAGTGTGTATTATCAACAAAAACAAATCTGTCAGCTGATGTTCATATACTAAAATTCACATTGTTAGAAGATTTAACAATTCAACAAGTAACTTCAAAGTAATTTAATGATTATTTTGTCCTTACAATAATTAACCATAAAAAAGCATTTGTTTTTCTCTTTAGTGTAAGAGATATTCTAGGTTATTCACCATCAGATATGATTAATAAATCTTTGACCAGATTTATTGTATCTTCTGATTTTAATGAATTAGAATGTACACGAATAAAATGTGGTACGTTTTCTTCTTCTTTTTTTCCTCAATTATATTAAACTTTTAATAGTATTCAATATTTTTAGTTACACAACTACCTCACACAACAATGTGTGTAATGGATGCCTATACAAAAAATGGTGATCGTTTAAGCGTGCTGTGCAATTGGAGAATGACTTGTGAACGAAGAAATAAATTAATAAAAATAGTCATAACAGCACAAATCATTGAGTATGTAATAATAATACGAATTATGGTCTCTCTTATATATTGTGTATATTTACGAATTATATTAGCTCTACCATCCGTAATGAATATATTACTTATGC